ACACATCCACAGGCTGCGGGGATCCAGTAGTGAGGCATCATTGGGGGAAGTTGGGGAACGAACAAGTTCATTCAAGAATTAACAAAATAAGAACACTTAACAGGACAGCACATTTTCAAAAAATAAGCTTACAGTATTGACTTTAAAAAAAAAAAACAGCTCTTTAAAGACATAAAAGACTCTCGGTCAGTAGTTAAGTCTTCATATAAGGAAAAAAAGAAGAGGCTGAGACATCTTGGGACTTTCCTCAAAAATTCCATTTACCAAAACCCCAAGAGCACAGGACAACGAAACAGAGCAAAAGATAAACAAAGATGCCGACATGGGCCACAGTTGGTGTGTCTGGAGACCATTGGCTTCCAGGGCTTCATTCATCTCACTCAGTGGGGATTATCGGAAACAATAAAATCTTTCTATCGCCCCCAAATCAAGAGTCCTTTCTAGTTTACCAGTCCATGAGCAGCCCGCCTAGTACAAGTTACCTCTTGGATAGTTTGCTAAATGACAACTTCTTGTTTTCCATCTTAGAGAAGGGCCTGAGGACATACTATAATGAAAACCAGGAAGTACTTTAGAATGTGTGCCTAGCTTTTCCAGTGAGCACTGACTGTATTTTTTAAGCTATTATTACTAAGATGAATCCAAATCATTTGGACAAAATGACCTAGTACATAAAAGCATGTCTGAGATTCAACATTCTCTAACAACAACCCACTAAGGTCTTTTCACCTGACTCTCCCAACTAGGACTATAAATTCCTTTAGGGCAGGAGCCATTCCTATCCATTCAGGTAGATGACCTCAGAAGCAGCCAAGGTGCTTTTATAACCCCTAATCTTCCAGGCTGCTTTTCGGAGAGTCTTGCCAAGGATGCATTTTCCACTGCAATAGCTCAAATGCCGGTACAGAAATAAGCAAAATGGCAAAAGGAAGAAAAAGCAAACAAATTATCTTCCCTCAAGTATACTTTACTCTTCAAATTCTATTAAACAATCATCTTAAGGTAAAATTACAGAGGTAAGTCATAAAAATTATATGAGAAAAAAAAACATGCTAAAATGCAATTGACATGAAGCAGTGACAATAGAAATTCACAAACCAGGGGATAATCCCAGCACTCAACTGTCCCTTGTGGCATAACCCTTTCTCTAATCCCAGCACTCAGGTCACACTTCCATGAAAGCTAGGGCTACACCGGGAATACCATGTCTGGGAGGGAGGGGGAGGGTTAAGAAAGTCAGCAAAGGATCAACATCATTCTGAACTACAAAATCTGAAACAATGTTATTTCTGATATTTCCAGTCAAGTTCAGAAAGATAAACTACTGTAGTTCTTAATAAGCAGTTGATGAGAGATGCCAAATTTTGCATAATCCATGATTATTGTTGGGGCTGTATCCCTACTCATGGACTAATGGAGATGGAGGAGGCAGAACACAGCTGTACATAAAACATGAAGATGTTGGTTCCACTTAATGACACATTAGGCATTCAAAGGAGTATGAGTCTATAAACAAGTTGGAAATGCTCAAAAATACCATGAAATAATAGCCCTTCGCCAAACACAGTACCAGATCTGAAGAAGTGACCTTGTCAGCACCCTGGCCTGGCAGCACTTTCACGCCATGCCATGTTATTCTGCACCTTACAGAAAACAACTAGAAATAATGTTGGATGCTCTGTTCTGCTCTCTCAAAAAGCTGTATAAACTCATTCCTGAGAGTTCTGAAAATAAAATCAATGCTAATATTAAAACCAAACAAAAAACAAACAAACAAAACCACTCAAGTTCTCCTAGCTTGCAAAGAACCAATCAAGAGGGATTATGGGTTTCCTTCCTCTGCTACCCAGGTCAAAGGACTGCATTCCCTTGGGCTTTTATAGCCTTGGATAATATTTAATTAAATACTCTGTTCTGACTGCTTTATGTACTAGAGAATACTAATTTTAGAAAACAAGTTAGCTAGTTCTCTCTAACTGTATGTTATTATAGCGAAGGTCAAATTTTTCACTGAAACTATGGCAACAACACCCCAGTACTTTTCGCCGACGAGACTAAAACAAAATTCTCAAGACAGTCTTCCGCTTGATGGCTGAACCTGAACCGGATTAAATTATTCTGTTTCTTCCCTTTGCCCCGAATACCACATTAGTGGGAAGGCAGAGGGGTGAGAAGAGTAGCAGCTATTTGCTAGCATAAGTCCAAGTGCGCTTATATGTGTCATCACTAGTAACATTTTTAGACACATACAATTTTAGCAGCATAAAACATCCAGGCATTTCAAAGGCACTCAAATTAGAGCATAAATGTACCTGGAAAAATACCAGACAAGGAAGGGGAAAAAAAAAAAAAA